TATCAATAAACATTAAACATATTATTTTTGTTATATCTACTTGCAAAGAAGTTAACAGACATAAATAAGTAAGTAAATAAATAAATAGATAGATAAATATCTTACAAAACCTCTAAGAAAGTGATGAGCTTAACTTTATATAAGTACTTCCATATAATAAAAATAGAATTAATCTCTTTAAATTCTTTTATGGGACTAGTACAAAACTGATACAAAGTAGAGAAGTGGAGGCAAAGTTAGAAAAACATAAGTTGATTCTCAGGAACATTGATGTAAACACTCTAAATAAGGTGTTAGCAAAACAAATCCAGCCACATTTTTGTAATAATAATAATTTTTCGCCAGTATTTGCTCTGGAATTTAGTTATAGTTGAATAACAGAAATATTTATGCTTACATTACTCAAATTAAGAGATTAAAGAAAAAATATATATTTTAAGATGTTTAGGAAAGCATTTAATAATATTCATATTCATTAGTGATTTAAAATTAAACCTTAGATAAATAGGAAGAAAAGCAATTCCTGAATTAAACAACATGTACCTAATAAAAGCTTAATAATACATAATGATAGAGCAAAAACAATATGAGAAAATAAAGGGTATCCCCCCCAAAAATATATATTAAGGCCTGATAACTCAATTTTGAAAATGAAATGTATTTTAATAAACATTCCCTTTACAATTATTTAAAGTGTGTGTATACATTTTTGGGAAACCATATCCTATCTAATAACAGAGAAACATGGTAATTAGCCATACCTCCACTACCCTCCCATTGGCTAATCAGGGCGATATGCAAATTAACTGCCAACCAAGATGGCGGCCAGCAGCCAGGGAGCTTGAAGCGAACAGGAGGCTTGCTAGCTTCAGTGACGGAGGCTTGAAACATTCCCCGCCTGCCTTGCTGGCCTCTGAGCTTGCAGTTTAAGAAACATTGTTACAAATATAGAAGCTAAACAAAACCCCAGCAACCTGCTTTCAGCCAGCCAGGCTTCAGCCAGCAGGACCGCAACATTGTTTCAATTATAGAACAAATGCAGATCCCTGCTTTCATCCAGCCGGGATCTCAGAGCTGGAGTGAGCGGGACCACAATAGTGTTACACTTATAGAACCCAAACAAACCAGATACCTGCTTTCAGCAGCCAAGGCCTCAGAGCTGGAGCCAAGCCTCAGAGCTAAAGCTGGCCCAGAATTAAAAAAAAAAAAAAAGGACAGGTTGGGAGCT